CCCCCCCCCCCCCCACCCGGCTCCCAGACACTGTTCGTGGTTTCGGCACTCATTATGTGTTACCGTACCCGGTCTTACTGTTTGAAATTTCTCCTGACAGGTGCATGATGATAATGTTTATGTTGGAAAGCTTAGGCACAGAGATCAAAATTGAAAGTCACTTGATTAATATCAATCCCCTCCAACGTTGTGAACGATGTGGAGGCTTGATTTACCATGAACTTCTTCATGTGCCGTGGCCGCATACATTGCAGACACGCTGACCGCGTTGGGAACGCAATGTTGAGCCATGAAGATCTCATGACTCCGTATCGGGAAAATCGGGACCCCCATCCATGGAGTCTCTGCACCACCAATAGTAAAGGTGGACTTAAAATGTAGAAAAAATTTCAACCATATCTCAAGCCGAGTTTCTCCGTGCTCCAAAGACACTCTCGAATTTATTTTCATGAGTTTTCATAATTGTGTGTTTTGATAATTTATGTGTTGTGTTGTGTGATTGTGTTGTGTTTACATCGATGTAAACCAAGTGATAAAAAAAAGGAGAAAACAACAAACTCGTAGAAAAACTTTTTAAAGTCTTTAAATAGATCATAATATAGGCCTAACCTTTGATCACTTATTTTGATTGATTGTGATACGCGTTAGCGCTTTTTAGAATCCTCACTTAGTTTTAACCTACATAACATATTGTTTTAAGTTGTGTCTCTATACTATTTTGAATGCAAAATAAATAAAATAAAAATCATGGATTTGAATCCCTCCACATAAAAAAAACTTAGCGCCCTCTCAAATGGTTATTTAGAGATATAGGCCCTATATTAATATTAAGTCGCAATATCTTAATAAGTTTTGATATCTATACCTGTATATTTTGTTGGAAATTTAATTAAATTGATCGCTTTGTCCATATTTAGCTCATTTTTTACGGTCAGCATGCACTTGCCTTTCGGCATTATTCATCGCCGAACTTGGTTCATCTATAGCATAGACTTGTTTCGCATAATGTCACACACAAAAAAAATGACAAATATATATCTCTAAAATTTACATCTCAGTCGCAAGGTATGTCAAGCATAACGATCTGTGATTGGCCTGTCCTCTTTCGAGTTAATGCGTCTCTGTCATTATTAACTGTGTACTCTGTGGTTTAACACTGTAAAATATTACATAGAAATTATCAAGAATTTGTGCTTTTTACGATGGGCTTCGAAACATGTGGACCAAACTATGTGCTAGTAATTTCAGGTAAGAAAATATTTAATGATGGTTCGGCGATGCGGATAGGGATAAGAGAAGCTTCTCCGTTTCATGAATCAGTCATCCATATTGAAGTACTGTACCGGACTAATTATAATTTTCGGTCGCTGACTTATTATGCGACAACATATACAATGTGATTGCATCTATGCTCTTATACATTAATAAGCTTGTAAACATTTTGATAATGCAAATATAATCAAATGCGAGTCCAATCAGTGTAAATATTTGTGATTGTGGTGATGCGGAGGTCGTGTCAACGGCGAAGTTCAGAGGATCAGCATCTCCCTGATATCAAATCACCGATGCAACCGTATCGTACACCGAGTCATGTGTAGAAATACTCTGACCGTTCTTCTTCGCGTTTTCTTTTAGGCGATATAAAGTAATATAAGCCTATATATATGTTTTTTTTAATTATTATTATTATTATTATTATTATTATTATTATTATTATTATTATTATTATTATTATTATTCAAACGCATAGGCCTACCATAAACCATGATGAATGAACTGTTTCGTCACTGTGCAAATAAAATAAATTTGATTAAAAAGGTGTTCTTGCAAATAGGAAATTATATTTTATTTATGGTTTAATTCGTTTACTTTAGTTTTGGCTTGTAAGACTATTAAGAATCAACCAAATTGTAGCTATGCTAGCATACCCCGGTAATAATTAATAATTGATTGAATTAATTTAAAATCACAAACGATAGGCCTATGGCCTTTTGTCAAGATAGCCTATTTGTGCAGACTTAATTTAGTCGATTTAATAAGAAGATTCAGTATGGCCTAAAGTAGTAGACCTAAAACATGTATTATGCAATGATAGCCTATCTATAGCACTATCTTCTTTTTTTGTTTGAATTAAATTGTTCACGGGTTATCTTATTTCACTTCATTTCGTCCAAGAATAACAAAGAGTAAAAAACAACACTCAGTTTGTTGGAACAGTTGCCAAAAAGTGTACTGAATCACTGTCAGTGACTGTCCGATGCCAATGAAAACATAAATTAATTTAACATAAAATAGTCAAGTAAAATATCAAGAAATAGCCTACATTTCAGTTAAATCAATAAGATAAAAACATTTAAAAAATACAATAAATAAGGCCTATTGAAATACAAGAATTGCAGCATATGAGAAGGCCTATTGTTGAGCCACCAAGTGCGTCCGGTCGGGTCCTAGGTGTTGAGATAGTAGGCCTACTATTCCGCGAACTATGCCGCCCAAAGAAAAAAAAAACTAAGTTTGCTCCGGCGAATCAGGTCAACTTTGGCCTGTTTACGTTAATCTTCTTCCCGCTGGCACCGCCACTTCCTCCCAACGTGACCACTCACAATTTTTGATATAGGCCTACCTATATATCTACCTGGGTCGAAATTACCCAAGATTCAACAAAAAATTGCCCAAAATTACCCATGCTTCCAGAAAATGCGTGTTTTTCGCATAGTTTCCCCTTTAGTTCATTCTATAAACCATTTTTTATTGTAATTGTTTGTGTTAATTATTAAAATTAATATTCATGAGTTGGTAATACGGATAGACAATACGCCCACAGTCGGCCAGTAGTGTTATCAGTAGATCAGTTACCAAGTTTTATAATGCATTAATTAGGTAAGATCAATGTCAACGCAAATCATAAACAATTCTGAACACATTTTTATACTAGCAAAATTAACAGTCAATTAACAATGTTATGTGTACTTCATTGAGTTTTGCTACTTGAATGGACTGAAATAAATTTTGTTCAATGTTCCTTCCTAATTCTTCCTCTATGACAAAAATATTTAATTTTCTTTGTAAAAATAAAATACCCAAGAATTTTGAACGGAATACCAAAGAACTTAAGACCAAGTCAAAATAGATATTGGGTAATACCCAAAGTCACGTTGCTTCCTCCACTTGTTCAATCCAGTGCTCCAGTTTCCACGTTACTGTATGCACGTAAATGTGTATTTATGTACATTATTTGTGTGGGGCGGGTAAGGGATGTTTATGATTTATTTAAAGTCTAAATTGCATTTTCTTAAGTTAAGTTCTTTCATTTGTTTAGCTTGAAGTTGTTGTTTTTCTCTTTGTTCATAGGCCTTGTCCAAACGTCGCATCACCTACTTTAGTGTATCATAATGCTAAATGTGTGTATTATATCTAAATAATAATTATGCCTTTATATAAAAAAAGTAATAACTTGTATTGCAAAAGCAAGGAAAGTACCATTTGATCCCATTTTTAATACACTGTAGATTGATAACTTTATAGTTTGGAAATCGTGTTTACTTGTTTACCTGGACATGAGCATACTAATCTATAGTTCACCTTAGACCAAAATATATATTCTATTACTCCCACAATGCAACATAAAAGGTTTTACCTGTTTTAGCGTTACAGTATTTATATTTGTTATACTGAGTCATTTATTCAAGCTTAAAATAATACATTTACAATTTTTTGTAATATAATTTTTTATATCCAACTTATCAAAGTAGCACAATGTGCTAGTTATAATCAAAAGGCTACATCCGGTTACAGGGTGGATTGAGACCGTTCCACCATTAGGGGTGTGAACGATTTTGTTTACCTTTTATATAATATGAAAGGATAATTATAACGTACGGTAGGGAGCAGATAATAGTGGTAGTGTCAGTGCTGTTAAAATGGTTTTTTTCGAAACTTGTGGGCCTAATGAGGCATTAGTTGTATCAGGTATATATGTATGATTAACTTATGAAAATAATAGTTTTCTTTTTATTTAAAAATATATTAGATTTAAGCTATGAACCAGTTGTTGCCTAGCCTCTGCTCCTAACATAAGCCTAGGCCTACAGTAGCTAGGCTTGAGGCTAGGCTAGGCCTACACCCCCGTCGTAGTTAGCTAGGCCTAGCTTAGGGGCCTCCTACCGAGTAGTAGACATAGCATAGACGCCTAAAAAAGGCGAAGCGTGTTGTACGAATCCTGGGCTCCAGCTAGATAGGGCCAGGCCTATATCTGACTGGGAAAAAAAAGAGACGGATACACATCAGTTCATCAATTTGACTACTACTACTACTAGGCCAGGCCTACTAGCCTAGGACTTAAAACTTGCTTTTTGACAGTCAGCAACGGACTGATGACAGTCAGAGAGCAGTAGAGCGGACTAGGCTAGGCTTAGTAGTAGTAGGGCCTACTACTTGGGGCCTAGTGTAACTGGAGTTACTATTAATTGTTATAATATTGTTTTGCATGTGGTTAATAGTGACGTAATGCAGACCTGCCAACTCACCCGATCCTGTCGGGTGTCACCCGATATTTAAACAAGTCTCCAGTTCTCCCGATCGAATGTAATTTCACCCGATTTCACAGGCCACCCCCCTCTCCCCAAAAATTTGTGGTGCAATAAACAAACAGTCATTTTCAATTTGAATGTCGCCACCAACGGCCAATGAGTGAAGTGACTTTTTTTTGTCGTGCATCATCTTTTGGTTAATGCTGGAAACCTCCAGATTTTTTGGTAAATCTCCAGATTCTTAAAAAAATCTCCAGATTTTCATGACCCAAGGGTTGACAGGTCTGCGTAATGTCACATGATGAGTTACCGCGGGAAGGCGGTAGACAGACTAGTGTGATGCCATACCTCATTGTGAGAGGTCGGTCTGAGTCTTGAATAAAATGATGTTCATACATGCTAATCATTTGCTGTTCTAGTATTATTGTTTAGTGGCGTCTCCCGTGTTTAAGTAATGCAATATTGCTAGACCGGATCGGACGTTTCACTAGTAGTAGAGTTACAGTACTCTCTGAATAGTGAGTGAGAGAAAGAGGCAAGGGTAAATAACTGGTAGCAGATCAAAACAGCAATAAACCAAAAGAGCAGTAACTGAAATAGGGAAGAAACCAACACGGTAATGATAAGTACCAAAACGACAACAGACCAAAACGGCAATGACAGTACCATGACATAGACCAAAATGGCAAAGGAGCAAAATCAATGCCAAGAGCAAGTGATGCCTGGCACGGGCCACAGTTAATAATTTTCCGAATCATCTTGGAAGTGTCTTGAAATGGGCAAATCAAATATTGCCATGGGCTCTTTTTCCCACTTTCAATGTTAATTCGCATTTCTTAAAAATGTTTTTACATATCCATGACAAATTGTTTAGATGTCTCATTTTGTCTGTATTTTAAAGTTTTATTTAATTGAATGTTTATTGCTTTTATATTGTGTTTCCCCTAATCTTTTTATTATTGAATTTGTATGTTGTTAATTATTACTGTAAGCCTAGGGCCTATTGATATTATTATTTTTATTATTATTATTAATGTTTTTTTTGTGTTTTTTACTTTTACATAAATTTTTTAGCCTCATTTTTTCTGTATTTTAAAGTTTTATTTATTTATCTTGTTTATAGCTGTTTATAGGCCCATTGCCGTTCGGGTAAAAAAGTGTTGCCATTTTTACTTATTGCCATTTTTGTCATTGCCGTTTTGACTTAAATATTATATTTCCCAACCCCTGTCTGATAGATCCCCATGTCAATTCCGATGATACGCCACATAAAAGAACATACTGTAGGCCTTGTCCAAATGTCGCATCACCTACTTTAGTATATCATAATGCTATGTGTGTATTGTATCTGAATAATAATTATGCCATTATATAAAAAAATAATAACTTTTATTGCAAAAGCAAGGAAAGTACCATTCGATGCCATTTTAAATACACTGTAGATTGCTAAAAAAAAAATATATATACTTGTTTAGCATCACCGTTTTGACTTATTGCCATTTTGGTTTATTGCCGTTTTGACCAAAAAACAAATAACTAGTTATTTACTAGGCCGCCCTATGCAGGGCCTAGTTTTTAACATATCTTAGCATATTTACTCTAGAACTACTTGATATACACTGTATTGTATTGTTGAATGTTCTACTGTTATTAGGCTGCGCCAAGGCTACTCTACTACTACTGATTCTACTCATTTTTCTTCGTAGTGAATTTCTGCACAAATGTGATTTAGTGTTCGATGTACAGGCAAAAGATATTTGGCCGTCTGCCGGGTGAACATAAAAAAAAGAGTTATTCACCCGTCCGCCAACTCAGTCAGTAGTTATTAGAAAATATTAAAATTAACCTCTCACATAGTAATGAATGCAATACGATCTGCACTCAAGGCATCTGGATCAGGAATAAACATATATAATATCTAATATTCATGATCACATGGGGCTGTGTTGGGGACAATGAGCCGCTGACACTATTTCTAATAGGGCGTGAACTCAACAGGCTGAACTGAGTGGCCTGATTAGGCCAACCTTAACCTTAAAAATAGCCTTTCATAGTAATAATAAACATGTTATAATACCTATTATTCATGAACACATGGAAAAAAAATGCTGTGCCTCTGACCATGAAAATTGTGTAGATAAAATGGCTCCAGCACCAAATGTCATCTGTGTAACACTAAATAACCCAGCAGTTTATGTGCATCGGGGACATAATTTATGATGCCTCTGATGGCCAGTCCGGCGGTCGAGCACTTTCCCAACCCTGACTGTAACTATAATTTCTGACCTTTACCCTCCACTAAGTTCATAAGTTAACTTTTTTCAGGATGTTGCCATTCATCTCCCGAGATGATCGTTGGAGGGCGGGCGTTTGTCTGGCCGATAATTCAACAGATGCAGAAGCTATCTCTCAATACCATGACATTGCAGATCTCTACGGACAATGTGTACACAAGGCTTGGAGTGCCAGTTTCTGTTACTGGTGTTGCTCAGGTAAGTTTACCAAGAGATTTTACATTTTAGTTTAAGTGTGGTTTTGTGCCACATGTATTAAATATTCATTAAAAACTTTATGATAATTTGCTCAGAAAATCAATTGAAAAATAGTTTAAAATTTAAATTACTGTATAACAAGGTGAAAGTTTTTTGAAAAAATGTCTGTCAATATAAATATAATTTTCTGTTGTTTTTTATTATATATGTATTATTATTTTTGAATTTTTGTTTACAAAGGTTAAAATTCAAGGACAAAATCAAGAAATGTTAAAAGCAGCCTGTCAGCAATTTCTTGGAAAACCGGAAGCAGAAATAGAACAAGTTGCTATGGAAACATTAGAGGGCCATCAGAGAGCCATCATGGGTACAATGACAGTTGAGGTAATTTTGTTAAGAATTTTAACAAATTCCATTCAGTCAGTTAATGAAGCACACAATTCATGTTTATTACACAAATAATTTGATCATCAAAATCATTATCTTCTTGATGCTTATGTCGAGCTCACTCATAAAAGCCTTGAAAATCAAGCTTTGTATCCTTGACTACTAACCAAATGGGATAGTATAAATACTCCAAGTATCGAAATGCACGCCATTGTGTCGGGATTCAATATTTCCACATTATTTATGTCATCATCAGGAATGAAAAATTATCCATATTTGCAAGCTTATATGCACAAATACCAAAAGTGTTTGACCAATCAAAACATGACCCCTAGTAGGTGACATAGCTATGAAAATACCAATCAAAGCATTCTTACCCTACTGATCAAAGCTACCTACAAAAACAAAGAAAGCTCCTTTGAAGCTTTCAGCCCATTGTTAAGCAATGTGTGTAGCCTACAAATAGCAAACGCTTCTTTAAACAATAGTATAGACCAATTTTGCGAACTATCAATAATGTTATATTAGAAAATATTAAACATAATTTATTACTTACATTACAGGCTACATTATCATTTTCAAGTATACCAAGTTTTGTAAACTTAAAACATATTGGAATGCCTCACAATTTTGTTACGTATATGATCATTTATAACACTATCAGATCGTGAAGTTATTTTATTACTACTAACCAATATTTAGATCTAAGGAGTCACTTTTATGACATGATCCTAGAATATTTATTCTGTAAAATCTAATGACCTTGTCTGTCACTCTGTGAAGAGCATACTTTAGCCCTTTGCATTATGATAATTACTATTCATCATTTTTATCTAATGGCTGATAGTATGATTCAATGTAGTTATATTTTAATTAGGTCATTTAAATTGTTTCTAATGTTTCAAATACTAATCATTTGATAATTTATGCATTTTTTAATGTGCAGATTCCATTATTAGTATGTTCAAATGTGCAGTGCATTATTACCTGCTAGCACAGTCGAGTCTAGTATGAGTTGTAGCTTGCTCCCATTGAGGGAATGCAGTGAAAGGAGAAGACCTGCCATTTGGCCAACATGCGTAAAAACACTAGGTGCTAATAGTTGCAGTTATATTGAGTACAGTGGCATGCAACCCAACTACTGTAGGTAACCATTTACCTCCTGGATAAAAAAATGCACTGCAGATAAAGTGCCTTTATATAGGACACAAACAATTAGCCTCTTGCTGTGTATGTACCACTGTGCTATGTACCTGCCTAATAAAACCAAACAAAAATAGATGCATCTCTCTTCTCATTATTTTTTTTGGCTGCTCCTTTTAGCTTTTTCCAACAGAAATTTAATTATCCTCAAACAGTGAATATGCACATGTCTAGGCCTTTAGGTGGCTTCTCAGATATGTGATTGTGTATGGATTGTGCCGTAATGTAATGTAGTGGGATTTACTATAGCGCATTACACCAAAGTCTCAATGCTCCGTGTATGAAATAATACTGTAGCTTTCATAAGAGTAATATTTATATAATATTTATTAGGTAAATTTATTTTTTAAATAATAATAATAATAATAATAAATTGGAGAATTTGTATAGCGCCTGTTAAAAAAATAATTTTTTGTCACTGGTGCTTAAAGATAAAAGAGTTATTGATTAAAGAGATAGGTTTTAAGGAGGGTCTTGAATGCATTAGTATCAGAAGTTGATCTAAGATTAGGTGGAAGAGAGTTCCATAATTTCGGAGCGGCAAAAGAGAAAGACTGTTCGCCATATTTTTTCTCACATATTTATGTTTTTTTACAAAGATTGATGTGTTTCACATATTATCTGCATTAATAGAGGTAGCATCAATTTCCTGTTTTGTAAATCCTTACCAGGATATACAGTATACAGGGATCAGCTCGTATTTGCTCATGTTACTCAGATTTTAGATTTGTAGACCGCACTACAGTATGTACTTAAAAATTGCTATGTTACAGTGACAATTGGAAATCAGGGCCAGTCAAGTTGGAAATGTTTCCTTTTTTTTTACTTGCACATATAGTCCTTGGCTAAATACTATGTGGTTTATGGTTTACGGCTAGTCATTTTGACTGGTTAAAAGGTAACTAATGGGCTAAAAATCCATGCTTAGTCACAATCACACAATCACAGTACGATTTATTCATTCCTAATAAAAATAAAGTATTATGAATGAAGTATTTAAAATAATAACAATTGAATTTGAAGGGTCTGGGATACTTATTAAGACCAGGAGTTGCAAGCATGAGAGCCATCTGGCAAATTATGTAATTTCATGAAAATTACAAAAGAATGCAAAAGTAATATAAATTACATAAAATACAAAATCTCATTTTCCCTTTAAGATGTTATATTTAGTGATAATAAAGATTAAAAAGTGTCCCTTCAATCATCATGTGCCTGTCTATGTTCAGAGTGTGGCTACAGTAATGCATGAGAGATAATAAAGGACAGATAATCCCAATCCAAAATCACACTGATATCAGTTCCTAACTTTCATATTGTGAAGTTCATGAAAACCAAACTTCAATGCTATTTGAGAAACCACAACCAAACTGTATTTGTTAAAAAATTTTTTTTGTTAAAAACAAAGTCTTTTGTTCACAATAAGTTGTGCATGTACTTATTATAATCTCATTTTCTATCCAGTGCACTTGAAAACTGATTGCCACATTAATTAACGTTTCCTAAGTTATCACGATATTAAACTGAATCAACGTGTTATTGACTTTTTTGGTTGTACTGTACAATATGTTAAATTATCAAATTAATAATTTATTTACTTTTATGACCACATTTTCTACCAATGAATAGTTACTGTAATTAGGAATGGTTAAGTAGTGAATGCTTTTAATGTATTTTTGTTAAAATTACATTACATACAAATTTATTATTATTTTTAATTTTAGTTATATTTCAATATTTTTTAATTTGGGACAATTTTAATATTTTTGTTTTCTTAACAGGCCGTCTAGGTAGCCAAAGCTGCATTAGTTGACTAATATTTCGCTTGAGCCCAACCCAATTGGCTTGTTTGCTTATGTTGAAATTAAATTTGTATTTTATAGTTGGTGGATAAATATACTTCACTGTAAACAGATGATGAAATTATAGGTTTACATCAAATTTCTGTATGAAAACTGTATTGAATTTAAAGAGCTAAGATGACATCCATGTAAATCCTTAGAAGCTCTTCCAAGTATTGTAGGGGCAAGGCCAGGGAGGTGCTACTGTTCAGTGATTAGCAATTCAAGGCAGTCACAAGTTCAGCAAACTTTAAGTACACTGGAAAATATGATATGAAGCATCTATTTGTGTCTAATACAGTATATAAATGTTAAAAAAATTTATTGTTGGAATATGTTATTTTTGAAAATTATCATTGTGCTTTTGACATTATTTGCCTGGGGCAGATTGCTATAAAAAACGGTCTTAACTGGTAGTCTTAACTCCTCGAATAAAGCCAGCTTTATCACTTAGACGGTCTTACTAAAGTCGTTCCTCTAAGACCATTGCTATAAAACAGTTTTCCCAAGACCATTTTGAGTATTGAAATAAGACAAGCACTCCCTGGTAACGTAAGATTGGGGTCAACATCATGCATGCTCGACGCACGCAAATGTATCGAAATGAACGTAAATAAACCTACTGTAGACCTATTTTTACAGACGCTGAGAAGTGTGCTGAATATTCGTCGACTTTGACGATCTAGGCCTAGGCCTTGCCATTGCACTGTTGAATTAACCAGCAGAACGCCATGATGAAAATGATTTAAGACCGTTTTAAGCCCCTTCCGAGTAGGCTTTAAAATTTAAGGTGGCTAACTGGTTAAGACTGCGTTATAGCAATGGTCTATAATTATAGACCAGTAGTGACATCACGATTATAGCCAGCTAACCGTTAAGACCGTCTAAAGACCGCTTGTAGCAATCCGACCCTGGTCATTAGATCCACAAATTGGCAGACATGCTCAGCTAGACTCCACTGTTCTCTGGGAAGTATTCCTAGTCGCCACATGTATTGTATTGCACAGAACAATCAACATGTAACATTCCCATCCTACCCTATAGGTAAACACAGATAAATTGTCATGCCCAAGGACACAAGTTGCACACTAGGGGATTGAACCCATGACCCAAGATTGAGAGACATAATGCTCCTACAAAATGCCACTGTATAATTAATGACGTCTGAAAAATTTCTGTTGACAATGAGAGATCAACTGATTGATAAACCATGAACATTGGCAAAACTGTAATTTTTAATAAGCATCTAATGCCATGCATGTATTGTATTTCTCCTTAATAGTATGACAAGGATAGTCAATAAATCAGGATAAAACATTATAATTGTTATTTTTTCTACAGGAAATCTATAAAGACCGTAAGAAGTTCTCAAAGAATGTGTTTGAAGTTGCTTCATCTGACTTGGTAAACATGGGTATCTCTGTGGTCAGTTATACACTGAAGGATGTCAGAGACAGTCATGTAAGTACACTTGTGTATGTTTGTATTTACTGGGTTGAATCTTATTAGAAAGGAGATTTTATTCACTTGTGGAAAAACTTGTATCTCAGCATATAAAGCTTTAATTTATGGATGACTCTAGTTATCTCTCAGTGCTGTATTGTGTAATAAACAAGATATAATACCAAAAAATCAAACATGTGACAAAAAAATTCTCTTTGCCTACTATAAGACGTCATTATAATTTGTTTTATTAATTCACATTAGGTCTTTAGAGGCTATGTGAGTGGACAAATCCTAGTGTCTCCCAGTATTTAAATACAGAACCCTCAGATTGGAAGGCAAGAATATTAGCCTCCAAGAGCTCCATTCCTTTGTTATATTTATAGATGTTGTTATTGTTATTGTTTTGATGTTATTTGTAGGGTTATTTAAAAGCGCTTGGCATGACACGTACAGCTCAGGTTAAGAAGGATGCCCGTATTGGTGAAGCTGAGGCTAAACGAGATTCTGGTATTAAGGTGAGAACGTCACACTTTTAAATGTTTAAGGGAAGGGGGTTTGGGGTTACTTGCACTTTTTCAAGAATATGTTGGACAAAGAAACTTGAATTCTCACATATTTGGAAAAAGGAGAATAGGATGATTGAAAATTTTCATCGCTGAAGTGATGATTATATATCTATATAAATGAAGGAATAACTAAATGAACTTACTGATTATTATGTCAAGCACCTCCTGAAACATTTCGTTCGTGGTGATGCATGAAGTGTTAGCGCGGTTGCCCTCTAAACTTGTTGTTGAACTGCTTGCATGAAAGGTTGTGCTTCAATAAATGTTTGTGTTACCTATTTCTATTGATCATTATTCTTCAAGGCTAACATATATATGTGTATTTTTGTGTAATAATACATTGCATTATAGTGAAGATGTATTGTTTTATGTGTGATGAAATTTGTTGTTTTTTTCAGGAAGCAAGAGCTGAGGAGGAGCGAATGGCAGCAAGGTACACAAACGACGCAGAGATTGCAAAAGCTAAGCGAGATTTTGAACTCAAGAAGGCAGCTTACGACATGGAGGTACAGACAAAGAAAGCTGAGTCAGAGTTGGCCTACGAATTGCAGGTACGATTCAAAGACTACATTCACAGTAGCACCTTGCACCAGGCGTTACTCAAGCCTGCCATGAATTGTGTATGGTAAAAAAAAATTTGAGCATACTCGCAGCCCTTGACTAACATAGCATTTTTTCTGATTGGTTGATATCGTCATATAGAACAGGTGATTTCACACAAAAGATTTGCGTCGGGTAACCCAACCCTGGCAAGCAGACTTGCTTGAAACATCTGCCAGACACAAGCACATGTCGCATACTTCACACAAAAAAATACTCTCACAAATTTGCCTTGTGTACAGCATATGTCTCAGTTGTGAACTAGGCCTAAGGTAAATTCTTTCATGTATAATGTCAGTAGTTGAATAATTTTAAAGTGTATAATAAAAATGTCATCAAAATTAAGATCACTGAAATAATGTTTTAAACTTGTGTAAACAACACCTTTGGCCTTTACAATTTATGATAACCAATCAAATAGTTTTAGGAGTCTGACTAATATAGAAGAAACAATCTTTTGAATGATTAAAAATAATCATTTTATTTTTTTTAGTACGATAGTATGTTTTCTTCATTATTCAGATGGTTCTCTAATTTGGAAGAACTTAATAAATACTAAAATGTGTTTTATGAATTATCACCAAAAAGAATACTGAAATGTGTTTTACCATTATTCACCAAAAAGATTACCTTTAAAAAAATGTTTAAATTGCCTGAAACCATTTACATAACATTGCTGTAGTTGTAAGCTAATTTGTGATTTATTTGAATTGTGTTACCTTAAAGGCTGCCAAGACCAAACAGTCTATCAAGGAAGAACAGATGCAGATTAAGGTTGTAGAGAGAGCTCAGCAGATTCAAGTACAACAACAAGAGATTTCACGTCGCGAGAAGGAATTGGATGCGCAAGTAAAACAACCAGCCGAGGCTGAGAAATACCGGCTTGAAACGATTGCTGCAGCTAACAAGTAAGTTTTTTTAAAGTTAAACTTCTTCTGTTTATCCACAGTTTTCTTGATAGAATCTGATAAACTTTTATCTTATTTGTTTGTTATATAATATAATATCCTCAATTCAATCTAGAGGGCAAGCCTGTGGATTTACAAAACCAATCATGAAATATTTAGAGATAAATTAAAGGGCATACCCGTACTAAAATGTACTAAAAACATGTAAAAATATGTATACATTTTGTTTAATCACATTTATGGTTCAATTTGGTATCCATATTTTTGCCTTAGTGTCATATTCATTGTAACTTCCAACCTTTATCTTTCCTCATCAGGAAGAAGATCATCCTGGAGGCAGAAGCAGCAGCTGAGGCTGTCAGAGTAAGTTGAAATTTTGACCTTTTAAATTAGTCTTACCATTATTTAGTAATATAGCAGTTCTTATATATAATTTGAGCATTGGCACATTGTAAATATACAGATAGGAGCATAGTGAGGCTGAAATGTTGCCTGTTGATTTATACATTTTGCTGTTATCATTCCCATTGTTTTGTTATTAATTACGTAGGTGCGTGGAGAAGCTGAAGCGTATGCAATTGAAGAGAAAGCCAAGGCTGAAGCTGAGCAGATGGCTAAGAAGGCTGATGCCTGGAAAGACTACCAAGATGCTGCAATGATAGACATGGTTTTGGAAACTCTACCAAGAGTAAGTCAACCCTATTATCTACAGTACATCAAGAAAATAGTGTTTCCAAACATGGGCTTAGACCAATGGGTAGGATTCATGCTCATGCATGGACTTAACCCAAACATGGACTTAAACCCAAGTATGGACTTGTATCAAAGCACAAGACCAATGGGTAGGATTTTTAACTGATGCCTTAACATTCAACCAAGTATGGGCTTGTTTCAAAGCATGGGACCAACATGTAGAATTTGCCCAAGCATAGGCATTACTGAAGGGTTGATTTGCCTAAGTATGAGCTTATAATGCATGTGTCTGGGTTAGACCAACTAAAGGATTTATGCACATGTTTGGGATTAACCCAATCATGGACTTAAACCCAAGTATGGGCTGATATTCAGGTGTTTGGCTTATAACAGAGTGTAGGATTTATGCCCATGGGTTTGGGCTTACATCCAAGCAAAGACCTTTATCAAAGTTTTCAATTCATGACATGGTGCATGTGCTTATAACTTAGTGGACTTAAACCTATACCTATATAGTAGATGTTGTGTTGTGAATCACACCTTTTTGATTATATTCACTTTATTTTCACATCGACAAACATGAAATTTGTCCTTAATTTTCTTTTATTGCAGGTGGCTGCTGAAGTTGCTGCCCCACTTGCTCAGACCAAGAAGGTTACAATGGTCTCTAGTGGCAAGGGCGATGTGGGTGCGGAAAAGCTGACAGGCGAGGTGATGGATATCATGGACCGCCTACCCAAGCTTGTCCAGAGCATGACTGGTGTGGATATCCACAAGGTGAGTCACAGATAAATGTTGTATTTGTTTGTTAAGCTCTACTACCCAAGCAATGCACAAAAACAAATTTTTCTGAGAGAACAATAGAACCACTGTATGCATGGAACCCATGCATATTGCTGTATTCTTGGTTATATTCTTTCAAACTGTTCTCTCTGAGATGCAGGTTAGGGCAAACTGTCTTCCAAAAATGATGTTTAAGCTTTTGATACTAATTTGTATGGAAAAAAGCATCGTGTTGTTCACCTGGTCTCCTGTCAGATTTACCACAGAGTTTTAATTACTGCTTTCATTGTTACTCAGGAGCCATTTCAAATGTTTTAAGTCACTCAACTGGTTATTTTTCTTCAATAATCTATAACCTTGCATTGTTCTGTGGACAAAATCATATTTATAATTTAAAAAAAAATCACATTCAACAGTGCTAATTACATGCGTTGCTTCATCAGTTAAATATTTTCAAAATTTTTCTTTTATTCACAGAGCATTGCACAAACCCGTGTCTAACAATCATTTTGAAACTTTACAATCATGATGGGGAAGATGTCAGCTCCAGAAGAGTAAACATCTGCACTTCAGTGAGGTTGTATTGTAAATAATTGAATCTCACAATATTATCTAGCATTGTATATAGAATCATTTTTTTCAGTTGTGTGTTTTTCATATAGTAAATAGTGAAATTATGTAGTAGTGACTATTTACAAGAGATTTTGATGCATTGTTACCTGAACCTTGTAAGTTTTAGAAAAACAATATTTAAGATGATAGGCTTTTTTTAGGCTGGGCACTCACAGCACCTGATGTTCGTCGATTTTCTGAATAGTGCAGCGTGACGAGGCACGTTAGTGGATCATTTTTTATGATTGCCACTGACTATCAGCAGACAGTATCACATTGTGTAACACTCACAGGGAGCAGAGTTTGATCCATCGTGTAACTGTCCTACGACCGTCACACAAAGCAGTGAGTGTCTGGCTTTAGAATACTCAGACTCCGTTTAAATGAACATATATTTCTAATGTGTTGGACAGTTCCAATATTGGTCATTGATATCTTCTTTCAAGTTCAGTATCTGCAGTTGGTTAAGTGGTATATTATACGCTGTCTGTCCTTAAGTATAAGTACATATAATAATAAAATCATTTAGCTGTGTTCTAAATTTATCATCTTGTGTGGTAGATTACTATAGTTTTTGTGATGTTTTTTATCATTGTTAGATAATGGCTGCACAAAGAAAATTGAGCTTTGAATGAAATACCATTTTAAATTGTTGAATGATAATTATGATTGATTTTATTTCCATTGTTACATCTAAAGGGGAAAAATGATATATGTGCTTAGGATTATTTACTCATTAAATTAACTGATGTATTGATTGCTTAAAGGACCATGTTATCTTAAAATTTTCATTCATTGAAAATAAGACCATATGCAAACAAGAAATCATAAACCCCACCATGGATTTTATTCCAGGCCTGTGACATCTGGAGACAGCACTGACCGCATTATATCGTACAGCGGTACAATGCAATGCAAAGTTGCCTATACTATTTCTAATTTCCTTCTTGTCAATCCTGTTGATGATTGTATTGAACAAAAACATGCTTGGTGTTATTAACTTTTATATTGATTTTATATAATATCAACATAAATATAATGGAATAATTACAGGTTAATACTATATTTAGATATTGCGTTTTTTTTTTTTTTTTTAGTTAAGAGCTGTTATTGATGATATTGAGATTTGGATGCAACAAAAATTGCCACCATTAATTTTGTTATCACTACTTCTCTTTTTAGATAATAAAATTGGGTGATTTAATGTAATCAACTTCCCTTCTATTAATTATGATATATGCATTTACTGTATGCATGGTTGTTGATTATAGTTGGAATAAAGGTAAATAAATAAATAAATTCTTATATGCCATACTGATAAGATGTATTAATTAATTACATTAGTTAATTTTGTAATTAATACTGTACCAACATGGCTACATCAGATAGAGGTGAAATTATTTTTTGTCTTAGTGTAGTTTAGATATTGTTCATATTCTACAATATACAAGGTATTACATCATTTTCAATGTATATAAGCCTATTCTTATATAGGAGTATCAAATATGGTATTTAGTTTTACTATTTATTCCTCTTCCTCATAACAATTAATATCTGGTTAAAGTAACAAGTGATTTTCAGTGAGGTTTTGTAAATGTATTTCAATAAACAGAATACTATAATAGTTGGAATTGCAATTATTGTTTTAATTTTTAAGACTGAATGCTTTTAATTATTCTTAGCCCATTTCCATGTGCATAATACCAAATATTAGAATTCCGAAATTTAACATTTCTTACAACTAGTCAATCATTTTTAGTATAATGATATTTCAAATGATATTTAGATAATACTTTTGAGAAATAATTTCCTGTATGTAAAGTGGCGATGGTTTGTATCTACTCGGCGATGAAAGTATTAAAGTCATGTGTATATAGTATAACAACTTTTTTGTGATTTATAATAAGTAACCGTGTTTTGAGTGATTCTACTTTATTTAAAGACACAGCTAATTGCTACAGCCATAAACGTCTTAGATAAATAATAATAATATGTCGTTCTTATAT